CTTTGTTTTATTTTTACTCAAACTAAAATCTGATATCTAATGGTTAAATGTTACATGAAATTATCGTTCATTGTTTTAATCAAGCCTTAGCACTTTCCGCTTTATATATTGGAACAATGGAAAATGTGCCTAAAAGAATATCCACAGCCATTTAACCAGCTTTCCACAAACATGGAGAACTGCGTTGGAAGGACATATTTAACCTATTCCTCCAAGATCCTGAAAAGCTATTTTTTTTTCTTGAAACTGGCAAAGAAGACGTTAAAATGGGATAGAGAACAAGCTTGACTGCCACTGGTCACCGTGCCATACATTCCCTTATATCTTTATTTATTTATTTTTAATGTGTTCAAATGGAGGTTGAAATTAGCTTTTCAATGTATCGTATGGATATGGGGGAAGGGGGGAGGAGGGAAGAGGGGAAAAAAGTGCAGACTTTTACAGATACAGCAGTGCTTGGCAGTGATTTATAAGCTGGGTCAGACACAAATTGACTCGTATGCAAGAAATGTAAATGGAATTGAGACTTTTGATGGAGAAGCTCATTTTGTGACTTAAACGTTCTAGATTAAACACACTCACACACAAATGCTGAATGGGAGGGGTGCTCTATGTAATTTACATTACAAATCAATTCATTATCCACACAGGCAGGTTGCAAAGATTTTCAAGGATCGCAGGTTTGATGAAGAGGATTCATTTCAAGAAATAAACCCTTTAAATTAAGCAGAGGATGAGGAGGACTAGTGGTAGCAATGTTTTTTTTTTTTCTTTCCAGCGTTGCCATATAGCAGTGGCATTATGGCACGTCTTTCCTGTGTAGGTTGTTTGGGTGAATGATCTGAGTTGAGCTCTTTCCACGTCACCAAGGTCACAGCGCTAGTCTCTGTTGTGTCAGATTTACAAAATGGCTATTTATTTATTCAATCATTTAGTCAGCTAGTTTTATATAACACCAAATATTTTCTAGCACTGTAATAAATATGGGCAGTTATGTATATGCCTTTGCCCTTTATAACAATTCTAAATTCCAGCCAAGCAACTTAAAGTGGTAGTAGTCTCCTCTTTATGTTTTAACTAAATCTAAAGCTTACCTGTAGGTACTGTAAACACCTCGTAAACGTGCACCTTTTAGGAGATATTTACTTTAGCAGGGCCAGCGATGTCAAAGGCGCAGGCACACTGCACTCTCAATGGATGTCATTCCATCCATTGAGGAAACCTGCTGCCGAAACACCCATGCACATGCAGGAGAGTGACGTAATTGCGGCTCAGCCAGTTAAACGCAGCTCCAGTAGAGGACTTCTTTTTCAAGTAAGTCTTTTATAATGTGCTAGTATGCAATACATACTAGCACATTATGCTCTTGCAGGGAGAACATTTTTTAGTTTACTCATTTGCGTTTTTTTTTAACTCGTTAATACACAGTTGATTTACGTAAGTATTTGTAATCCTGTGCAGCCAGTTTTGCAATCCAGGCACATCTGCCAGACAAAACTTCCAGGTTCTCAATTCCCATGGCTGCAGGGCTTGCTTGCAAAAATACCCCCAGCCTGCTGATCAGATGATGAATGACCCCTGTTCTCTCTCCTACCAGCAGCATGTTTCCTGTGAACACATGTACATTGCAGCAGAGTCTAAATGGCTGCTAATGCTGGCCCTCTTATAAGGATTACAAAACAATTGATGCTTTTACAGGTTACCTGAGGTTCATCTAAGGCAAGCCATAAACCACAGGTTTCAGGAAATAAAATCTCCCGTTTCACCCATCAACACAGTCAGTGTTGATGGGGGAATCCCTGTCGCAGAGCTATTGTGTTCTGTCAGTGAAGAGGATTCCCTGCAGACAGAACACAATGACTACTGCTAGCGGCTATAACCACCAGCAGTAATCGCACACAAAAAAACAGCCAGGCTGGTTCTACTGAAATCAATCAATGGATTGACTTCAGTACAAACAGCCTGTCCATAGATGGATCGAATCTTGGGCAGTCCCTAATGAACCCGTTGAGATTCAATCTATCTATGGCTCTCTTAAGTCCACACCTAGGCAACCCTTTGCTTGCTAGCAGCAACATGCTACAGTATTAAAAAAACAGTATTTAATTGTGGATGGATAATGCTTGCAAATATTCCTCTAGTGTCATCTACAACATATTATTAGAGGGCTGGGTTGGTAGACATTAAAAAAACCATATTTTTTTACACCCCTTAAAAGACTAAATCACAAAAAATCCTACTTTTTAGCTCCCTGGTCTCCACCTCCCCACGCCCGACTGCAGGACTTCTCCAGGACTTCCCCCATCCTCTGGAACTCGCTACCCCAATCCATCAGACTGTCACCTACCCTCCTCACCTTTAGGCGCACCCTGAAAACCCATCTCTTCAGGGAAGCCTACCCCACCCTCACCTAACAGCTGATCTCCTCCACTCCTCCTACAACTCCATCCCCCACAGCCACTTCCTCCTGTACCACTACCCGCTCCCTCCTAGATTGTAAGCTCGAAAGAGCAGGGCCCTCGAACCTCTCATATACTGTTTTGTTACTGTATTGTCTCATGTTCTGTCCCCCACTATAATGTACAGCACTGAGCAAACCTTTCTGGCGCTATGTAAATACTGTATTATTATAATAATAATAATAATGAGGTGTTAGTTTGTATTTTAGTCAAAAATGTAAGCTAACCATCCATGGCAAAAGTCTTCATGTCTGTTGAGTCCTACAATAAAACAATAGCTTTTTAAAAAAATAAAATAAAGTTTTTTTTCCCTTTTTCATCTATTTTTAGTTTCACTTATTCCTAACAGTCTCTTGCAGCCACTTTCTGTCTATACAAGGATAAGCAACTACACATGAAAACATAGGAATTGGGGTGCAGACAAATGGCAGCAGATGCTCTGGACAGATGAGTCCAAATTTGAAAAATATGGCTGTAGCAAGAGGTACAACAGGTACAATAATGAGTGTCTACAGGCAGAGCTGGTGCTAGACTATGTTGCAACGACCTGGGCAAGACCAGTTACTTGCACCCCCCCCCCAAAAAAAAAAACTTCACCTGTAGTTCTACTTCACCCCTCCTAGCACACATCCTCTTTCTTCTCAAATTTTCCACCCTAGCACAAATCCTCTCCCCCAAATCCCTCCTCCTAGCATAAATCCCCCAATCCCACCTTCTTGCTCAAATCCCCCTAAATCCCTCCTCCTAGTACAACCCACTCCAAATTACCCTTCCCAGAACAAATCCTTCCTACCCACCCTAATCCCTCCTCCTAGCACTAATCTACCCCTCTCCTAGCACAACCCCTCCCAATCCTCACTCCTAGTACAAAAATCCCCCCCCCCCCCCAGTCCCCTTTCCTAGCACAAATTCTCCTCAATCCCCTCTACTAGCACATACTATCCCCACAAATCCCCCTTCTAGCAGAAATTCTCTCCCATTCCCCCCTCCTAGGACCCCCCCCCCCCCCCCATCGCCTCTCCTAGCACAAATCCCCCCAATCCCCCTCTCCTAGTACAAATTCCCAAATTAACCCCCCAATCCCTCCTTTATAAAACAAATCTCCCCAAATCCCACCTTCTAACACAAATCCCTCCGCCCAATCTTCTCTCCTAATACAAACCCCCCAATTCCCTCTCCTAGTACAAATTCCCCCCAACACCCGCTCCTAGCACAAATCCCCCCAAATATCCCTCCCAGCACCACTCCTCTTCCTTCAATTCCCTCCACCTAGGACAAATTCTCCTAAATCCCTTCTCTAGCTAAAACCCCTGCAAATTACCCTTACCAGCATAAAATCCTCCCCCTTACCCAAATCCCTCCCTTTTAGCACAAATCCCCCCCCAACCCTTCCTCCCCACAAACCTTCTTTCTACTTCTAGCACATATCCCCCCATTCCTTCTCCTAGTACAAATTCCCCCCTTCATCATCCCCATTGATGTCATTAAGAACTATCTTCAGTGTACAGAAGAACAAGGAGTCCTGGAAGTGGTTTGGCCCCCACAGAGCCCTGGTCTTAACAACATTGAGTCTGTCTGGGATTACATAAAGAGACAGAACGATTCAAGGCAGCTTATATGAGCAGAAGATCTGTGGTTATTTGTCCAAGCTGTTTGAAACAACCTACCTGCCGAGTTCCTTCATAAACTGTGTGCAAGTGTACCTGGAAGAATTGATGCTGTTTTGAAGGCAAAGGGTGGTCACCCCAAATATTGATTTGATTTGGATTTCTCTTCTGTTCACTTACTTTTTATTTTGTTAATGAATAAAAATAAACTATTAACACTTCTATTTCTGAAAGCATTCTTAATTTACAGCATTTTTTCACCCCTGACTAAAACTTTTGCATAGTGGTGTTCATGCACTCCAGCAATTGCTGTACATCATTTCTCAGGACGAGTTTCCTGAAGGTGACAATGGTAATGTAATGTATGTTAAAAGCCATCATAGTCTCCATTACAAGCCTGTGACAATGAGACAAAGCAAGGAAATATTTGGGAAAAAAGGCATAGTGTTGTCACCCTATAAAGTACATTAACAATACACACTCAGGACCAATGTAGATTGGAGCTAACTAAAAGAGATCTTCTAGAAAACATATTGATTTTACAATAAATAACTAATATGTGATTTTCATTGTTTACTACAACTAGGCCTGTTTATAATATGATAAATATTAAGACAAACCTGCTCTGCTACCAGCATGGACCAAAAGTGTATAGTAATGGGATCTTAGGCAAAGCAGGTTCACCCAAAATCAATACCGGTGAATAGTACTGCAGGTGGGGCTAAGGGAAATGTATGAAACAATCTGTAAACTGTAAATGACTGTAGGATGGAAGTAGCACCTCATTCACTAAGATATGGGAACCTTCCCTTGCAAAGTGCATAGCCTATTTGCCTTTAGTAAATCAACCCCATTAAAGTGTTACTAAACCCAGGACCCTGCATTCACTATATCTGATTGCCCACAAATCACAGAACATGGAAGTGCTATTATTTTAGTAAATATAAGCTGCTAAATACCTTTTCTCTTCAGCAGTTGGAGCAGTCTTGTGACTTCTATCAGTGTCCAGCAGGGCATATGTTAAAGCTTGTAGGAGGAGTTTTCTTTCTGCTCTAGGAGGATGCAGAACCCTTGACCTCTGTCTGGACAGTGCTGATCACATGCACTTTCCCAAGAAAAAAAAACCCTCTCTAGCAATGCACACCAAACACATGCCTACAGTTCAGTCTGGAGATAAGTGGTGGACACTTGAAAAAGGGGAGGAACAGAGAAGAAGGGATCAAACAGCCTTTTTACACAATGCAGAGGATTAACCCCTTAGGGTCTACAGTGAGTATAACAAGCATACTTTACTGCATATAAAGAATGATTTTACTGTTGTGGGTTTAGTAACACTTTAATGATTCACAAGACATGCAATGAATTTCAGGGGCAAAATAAGCCCCCCCCCTTACCTTATCAGGGCTTAGTAAAGTTTGCAAGTGCTTAAATTGATTCAGGTAGGCAGAGAAATTATAAACCTAAATTGTAGTTATGAAATATTGTGGAGTTTTCTTTCTGCTCTAGTAGGATGCAGAACCCTTGACCTCTGTCTGGACAGTGCTGATTGGCCCTGTGCTGATTACATGGACTCTCCCAAGAAAAAAAAAAACCTTTCTAGCAATACACACCAAATTGAGCATGTGAAGAGTGTCTCCACATGATATGTCTCATCAGGTGATAAGAGGGGGACACTGGAAGAAGGGGATGACCAGAGAAGTCATGATCAAACAGTCTTTTTACACAATGCAGAGGATTAACCCCTTAGGTTTCACTGTGAGTATACCAAGCATGCTTTACTGCATTTACAGACTGATTTTACTGGTGCAGGTTTAGTGACACTTTAAATACAACAATTACAATATAAAAAACCATGCAGGCTATAACCTTGATGGGAAAGGTATCCAATTCTCCAGCAATTCAAGGCAAAAGGGGCAAAGAAACTCTTTGAGTTAATTATTTGACAACCCTGTGATTTTGTTTTTTTAACTGAATCTAGAACTTAACCCCTTTCTGCCCAGCTCTAGCATCCCTTTAAATAGGTCTTTACACCAGAGGTGGGCTAGACTTCCCAAACATGTGACTATTATGATTGGCTTTCACAGTGGCACAGTGGCATGTTGGGGAGCCTGTCCCGTTGGTTCAGGATTGTGGCTAGTAACCAAAAGCTGTTTATGAGGAGTGGAAGGCTTTTTAGTTCTTTTACAAAGTAGCCAAAGGCATTTTTTTCCAGTTTTGGATTGAGTGGAGAGGATTTAGAACACCTGTCAGGTTTGCATTGCTGTCTGTGCCCCTATTTGGAAGATTCACCCTCCCTTTTTGTCCTGTTTGCCATTGTCATTGATAGTGAAAGTAAAAGAAAATACCAAATTTGAGTTGTCACCGGGACAGGGAAAGAGGGGAACTAGTACAGAAGGATGGATGACCGCACTCTATCATGCAAAGAGTCCAAAAGTTTTATTGTAGAAATCAATCAAAAAATCATGACCACAGCTCCATAAAGACAGGCACAAACATGCGTTTCACGCTGAATAGCACTTGCTCATAGTTATTATTAAGCGCTATTCAGTGTAAAAGGCGTTCACGTTTGTGCCTGTCTTTGTGGAGCTGTGAATATGTTTTTATGATGGACTTGTACAATAAACCTTTTGGACTCTTTGCATGGTAGAGTGCAGTCATCCATTCTTCTCTACTAATGTCTTGGCTGCAAACTGGACAGACACCTTCAGCAGGGAGGTTACATAGTGACATATTTAGTCCAGCTGAAAAAAAGACAAAAGTCCCTCCAGGTTATTGGGACAAGCAGACCATCCTGGAACTATGGTGTTCTTGTTTTGGAGGAATAGAGGGGAAACCTTCCAATGGAGAACACTAGTTCTGGTGACCCTGGTTACAATCAGGGATTCCTCACTTTGGGGGGACTGTGTTAGCCATTGGACAGGATTTGAAGGGAAATTTCCCCAATGAGGCACAGATGTAAAAAAAAAAATGACAGGGGTTACTGTATATCCCTTCCTTACTCTACCCAAAATGAAAAAATAAATGTTGCCTTTAATTCTACTTTACAGTGATACTAAGCCTAAAAAACATTTTTTACCTTAATGCATTGCTTGCATTAAGGTAAAAAACATTTTTAGCTTCCCTGTGTTAAGGGGAAGAAAGGGGAGAAGAGATCATCGCTGTGCACGGCTGCATCTCTTCTCCCTTCGCTTCCCCTTAACACAGGGACCCGAACAGCAGCAGGAGCAATTGTCTCTTGCAGCTTTCAAATAAATACAATGAAGAGGAAGGAGGAGCGGGGCTAAGTCCAGCTCTGTACATCTATGGAGCATGGCTCCATAGACATACAGGCCGGGAGCCAGCATGCAGTGTGTGTCCCATAGCAAACAGCTTGTTATGGGGACAAACAGAGAAGAGGAGGAGCCAGAATAGCCAGCAGGGGACCCAAGAAGAGAAGGATCAGGGCTGCTCTGTGCAATACCACTGCACAGAGCAGGTGAGTATAACATGTTTGTTATTTTTTTTTATTTTTTTTTTTTAATTTGACTTTGGTAACATTATGGGGTTTATTTACTAAAGCTGGAGAGTCCAAAATCAGACTCCCTTCTGCATAGAAACCAATCAGATTCTAACCTCAGCTTGTTCAATGAAGCTTTGGCAATGAAACCTGGAAGCTGATTGGTTTCTATGCAGAAGGGAGTCTGATTTTGGACTCTCCAGCTTTAGTAAATAAACCCCTATAAGTCTACCTCATCATAAGCTTTCTGAAACCAGGGCAGTACATAGCTAAACCTTTTCTATCCTATCATATTACATGTTTATATAGTATTTATATGTATAGTATAGTATAGTATAGTATAGTATAGTATAGTATACAGTATTCATATGTATAGTATAGTATAGTATATAGTATTAATATGTATAGTATAGTATAGTATAGTATATAGTATTCATGAGAATGTAGTGTGAGCTGTGCTTTCCTTGGCATGGAACATGCCTTTTCTGCTGCTGAAAATGTTAACGTTTACTGCAGAAATGTCCCAGCATGCACCATTTCTGTAACTGATATATAAAAAGATTAAAGTAAATTTATAATTATATGTCTGATTAATTACTTCTATAGAAAAGGTCCCTTTAAGGTGGAATCAGAAATTCAAAAATGATCTTGAATATTGGCAATAATTGTGCAGCTCTGATGCCACTGTCACTGTCAGACTTTGAGGAATTTTAATGACAACTTATCAGGCTGGCAGCTGTGTTAATTTATAAAAGTACATGTATACTAGGCATCAACTAGCCTGAATTTTATTAAAAGCTGATAACCAGTGACATCTATTTTCCTTATGACATTTATCACTTCGGTAGAGTGATTCCATTTTGTACACTAATATGTATAAATAGCCCACTTTTAAGAACCAAATTTGTCATGTATTCATTTCTCTAAACTGCACCTCTATCTGTTTCTTTACTACATTTAAAAAAAAGTGCATTTCAGATTCATATTTTAAACCTGGAGGTAAAGAAATGGTTGCCAGACTGCAAAGCATATTGACACATACTTATGTATATAGCACTCCTGCTCTAAGAGTGATGAGATAGTCCCGAAAGTAGTGCAACAGGCTAACAATTAACCCTCAGTTCCTTGACTTATAGTGAGGTCAAAAAGGGGTACCAGTGACGTTGATCTTTTTTGCAAATATATTACTAAATAAACTGAATAAATGAGAGAGAGTGAGAGAGAGAGAGAGAGAGAGAGAGAGAGAGAGAGAAAGAGAGTTACAGGATGCTCCAGCAGACTCTGAGCTGTCACTCTATAGTTTTCCCATTCACCCTTCCCTTCATAAAAGCTAACGTAGGGACTTCAGGGGAGGGGTGGAGGAGCTGGTCCAGCCAGTAATTAGTCACTCCCATAAAAGGAGATGGCTATGATGTGCAGGCAGGAAAGAGACTGTGTTAGGAAGTCAATGTTTTATGAAATGTAACTTTCTTAGAAAGAGGCAAATTGCAATTCAATAAATATTTGCTTATAGAAGGGGAAAATGCTGCAAGTAAGGATTTAAAATACTTGATTTTTTTCTGTGTGTTTATCTAAAATTTTTAACATGGTATTTTCCTGAAATACCTCAATCAGGAAAATTATATAATGGGCACTAGAGTTGATGATCATAGGAAATACATATTTTAGATAGATTACAGCGATTATTCCTGCCAGCTGTGCAAATGCCTCAAAATTGTTATAAATAGACCCCTTAGTATTAGCAGTCTGTTACTAAATATAGATTTACGTTTCTTTATATGGTTTAGTGTCAGGGAGACCCTGTTGAGGGTTATCCAGGGTGCCATTCTGTCTACAAATTTGGGGATTGTTGCACTGCTATGTTCTGGTTGCTTTTCATTACAGTCCAGTTTGATTTTCTTCCAGAAAAATCTTTCCTCCACTGCTATCAGCATATATTCAACTTTCAATACATGCTCTTCCCTTTTGCTAGGTGTTTCTTACCTCTAGAAAGGCCCTATACCTGTAAGTCTTTTATATCTGCAAGTCTGAGTCCATCTGTTCACAGTGTCGTTTAGGGTAAGCAAATTTAGAGTTTTCATTCCCCTGAAATGTTGGTAAAAATAGGAAGTATATTTCCAAGAGTGCTTCAATTCTCAGTACTTAGATTTCCACATTATTGAATTATGCCCATTCACAGCTGAGCAAGTACAAGAGCTTTTTTGGGCAATGATCATGTGATTTTGGCCACAAAATACTTTAATAGGAGCACCTGAAAATGCTAAATTTTCCACCTAACAACTGTCTCCTCCTACTAGAAATTAGCTTTCCATTTGTTAAAACAAAGATGCTTAAACCTGAAAATGCATGAAAAATACCCAAAATATATATGTACAAAATGTGCATAAAATGACAGAGGACATCAACCCTGAATGTAGCTTTAGAATCAACAGGGAAGGCAAAATGAAGAAGGGTTTTGATGATTTTTAAAAATGCAAGGGGCTTTAAATTGGTCATGAGTAATAAAAAAAAGTTCCTCTTAATGGAGCCTGTTCCTAAGCTAAACACAGTCTCATAATAGCCTTACTATTTTACATATTTTCCCAGAAAAAAAGGAAAGAAAAAATTAAGTGCCAGTATGATTAAAGAAAAAAAAAGAAAAAAAAACACAAATACAAAGAACACTAAATAAAATAAACTAAAAGCAACAGCAAAATCAATTTCCTCAAAATCATTTCCTCTTTTGTAGTTTCCTATCATCAGGACATGTTACTAGTTGCACTGCGAGGTTTTAGTGGTGGTTAAACTGATGGCTTGGTTGTGGATTTGGGCCATCCTCAATGGATTACAGACTACCAATCCCATAAACTTCTTCTTTCAGGTATACAGGGTTATATTGGCAAATTTATTGTATTTATCGTTTTCACTACTACAGTACAACTGCTCGTTCTCTTTCTTCTAATAGATGTACCAAGACTAATAAGAAGCACAGACAGGGCTCAATATCTGGTTTGTATGCAAGTCATCCTGAGTTTGCCCTGGGAAGGGTTTCATCAACTAACCAGGTGTGAGGTTCTGAAATGAAATACATATCATTAATAGGAAATTGTTTTTAGACTAATAATCCTCCATTAATTCCCCTTTAAAATATTGTCTTTGACCGTTAAATGCACACACCGTTATAAAAAGGAAGACAATAAATGATCTTGAAGCAAATTCTCCTGCCAAATGTCATAA